CAAAACACAGCTGGAGACGAATACACACAATGAGGACAGGAACAGGAAGGACCAAATAAGGGCAAGGAAGGCACATGAAGAGCAAAACACACACAAAACACGGACCAGAGTCTGACACTAATGGCGCTTTTCCACTGCGTGGTACGTCTCGGCTCTGCACGGCTCAGTACGGCACGGCACGGTTCGGCTCGGCACGGTTTGCGTTTCCACTGCAGTTCAGTAACGCTTTAGAGTGGGTGGTATTATTCACATGTCGTTATAGTTGCCCCGCCTCTACTACCACGACTCCTACCCCAACCGAGGTGGTACTAAAAAAAGTACCAGGTACCAGGTACTGTACCCAGTGGAAAACCCCCCAAAAGTGAACCGTACCGAGCCATAAGAGTGGTACTGCTAAGACTTTCTTAAAGGGGACATTGGATGCCCATTTTCCACAAGTTGGTATGATTCTTTAGGGTCTTCATGAAATTTTTTTAACATACTTTGGTTAAAATTCCTCAATGGTCATGTAAAACAACACTGTGCAAAAAAAAAAACAGCTCTTCACAGAGACCCATTTTGGTGCATATCTTTTTAAATTATAATGAGCTCACCCCACCCCTCTCTTCCGTGGGACATGTGAATATATATGTATAAGGCTCAGAGGTGGTCTCATTCAAATAGCTAGCTATCTACTTAGAAACCGGCTGCAAATTGGAAACAGCTCACTGGATGACACAGTTTCAGACTCAGACAGGTCATGACGAACTGGCTGCATGTTTTCTTTTCAGCTTTTCTGAGTTGGCAGACACGCCAGAAACCGAGCTCAATGCAAAAAGAAAAAAAAAAGCTAAAAATGTGAAAATTCCTCCACCTAGATGGCGTTTTCCATAGGTTTAGTTAAACCACCCCTTAGAAAAAACTTTGGCCCTGTCCCAAATCGCACCCTAATCGCACCCTCGCGGTCTTCCACACTTTCGTGACGTAATGCCGCTTTGACTGTCGGGTAGAAGTCTGCTGCGGAGTTCACCCTAGTGTGGGCTTGGCAGACGTGCGCATTCGAGGGCCGCAAAGGGGGCTTTCGCGAGAACCCTTCTGAAAGCTGTGAAATGACAAATGGGACACACTACAGTCTTGTGGACTTAAAGGTGGGGTATGTATTTTTTCAAAAACGCTTTAGAAAACTGAGTTTTGGCCAAGTACCAAAACAAACTTTAGCAAATCAGCAGTAAGGGGCGTGTCTACTCATGATGGGGAGGAGAGAGTGTTCAGTGCACAGGACGGACATTAGCCAAACCGAGCGATGACAGAAAGATAGAGATGGCGGATACGCACCGCGCCACTCGCGTCCGGTGTAGACACGGTGTAACATTGGTTTTGCTTTGTTTCACAGAACTAATATATGCTGGCTTTTGCTTGAATATGCTCGTGTGTCATGTTCGCTTGTTTCTTCATCTGCAATCTTATTGTCATTCCCTTCAGCTATGTATGGGGCGAGAACCTTTTGGGGTAGAGGCGTGTTTGTTTTGGTGATTTGAAATATCAACATTGGCTACCAGAAATCACTTACCCCACCTTTAACGGACATGCGCACGCGGCGGCCATTGTAAGTCTGCAAGACCGCAAATGCACGTGAAGTGTGCCATTTGGGAGAGGGCCTTTGTTATGGTTCATCACGTAAAGCGCACTAGTGCAGCAGCCATTTCCAGATATAGCAGCGAGATCGCATGCTCCTTGTATCTGTTTCCATACCTTTGTGTATGGAAACAGATACAATGAGAAGTATGAGAAGCTTTGCTTGTGAGTTTACCGTTTACAATTGTTATTTACATACTTTGTGTCTATATCTTCTTAAGATTTATATATCTGAAGCACGTTAGCGGTTCCACTTGCATTATATGGACATTCAAAAGATCGCCATTTGATTCAATAACAACTACTGTAAAGTAAATGCAACATTGTATTACGAGTTATTGTATTTTATTTATATTTAAGTAAGCATTTTTGTGCTTATTTTTTAGTTAATTTGTGGATGCTTATTTGTCATATTTGGAGCTTGACTTGCCTAAAATAATTAATCGCAGTATTAAAATATGTTACATCAAAATATGTTTTCAGGCTAAGGCAATAGGTAATATTAATTACGGGACTATACAAAAGTCCTATTTGGTCATGATTTCCACTTAAAAAAACTATCAATGGTTCCTCTTATTTGCACAGCATGGTGGCGTTCCTGCTAAATGTTACGTTCTTAGTTATATCAATACTCTTGCCAACAGTAACTACTGTAGCACCAATATTAACCAGTGTTTCATTAATAATCAACAATATATTCTTGGTAGAACAGTAGGAGTGTCATCAATTTGATTCCCTAAAAAACTGCATTCAATGTATGTTACTTCTGATCAAATAATCTGCCAAATGTATTAATGTAAGGTTAACATCTATGAATCAAGTGGACAACTCAAGAGTAAGCAGCATAACGATTCCATTGCTCTTGTTACAAAGCTTAATCATAGCAGAATGATGTCGATCAGCTTATATTCATGTTACTTGATCAGTTTCTGTAAAACGCAGCCTAATTTTTATTTTTGGGTGAACTAACCCTTTAAAGAGTGAAGTAATTTGAAAAAATAAAATGGAAAAGTATAAATCTTCATGCACAAGACTTCACTAAAAATGTTCGGTTGGCCTGATATCAATTTTGACAAGTGTAGGTAGGCTATCATGTGGAGCATACTCACCTGAGGAGCGTGACTTAAATAAAAAATTAACATTCTGCTTGAAACACCATGTTTGCACTTGTGTGTGTGTGTGTGTACTCAATGTGTGAGCGGGTGTCTTTAAACAAAATTTCCATTTTAGAGACATTTTTTTAAACCAAGTTCAGATGAGAGAATGACAAGTCCAAGAATAAGTCTACCTATGCTGCAACTGCAATATTTATTCTAGTAGCCATGAGGAGCTAACATCAATATTTGCCTCATAGTGTTGACTATATTGGACATGAGCCCATTTATATAACCCATGAGTCAGCTTTTACAATTCTCTTTTCCACAAGATGTCGTTCCATACTATTCAGTAGTATCCTCTCTGATTTTAGAAAAAAAGGGAAACACGCTAAAATTGTACTATTTTAACAGACCATAAAGGGTTAGTTCACCCAAAAATAAAAATTAGGCTGCGTTTTACTCACCCCCGATGCATCCTAGGTGTATATGACTTTCTTCTTTCAGACGAATCCAGTCGGAGTTATATTAAAAATTGTCTTTGATCTTTCAAGCTCTATCGTTGTACTCAGCGGGTGTTGCATTGCTTCTGTCCAAAAAACGTGAAATAAAAAGCACCCTTCCACAAAAAAAAGTGTCTCACACGGCTCCGGGGGGTGAACAAAGGCCTCCTGTAGCGAACGTCTTCTTCTTCTTCTTGCTTTACGGCGGATCGCAGACTTATAAGTGCATTACCGCCACCTATCTCTCAAATGGACCATTGACTCTCTATCTACAATCACAATTGTAGGAGTGTCAATGGTCCATTTGAAAGATAGGTGGCGGTAATGCACTTATAAGTCTGCGATCCGTGCGATTTTGTGTCTTTTCACATCAATGTTATCGTCACGAGCCGCAGGGTTTAATTTGGTTTTGTTTGTGTATGGTTTTTTTTACTCTCAAAGCCGTGATTCCCATTCACTTCCATTATAAGACTGACAGACTGCAACGGTTTGAGTTAAAAATCTTTGTTTGTGTTCTGCTGAAGAAACAAAGTCACCTACATCTTGGATGCCCTGGGGGTAAGCAGATAAACATCAAATTTTCATTTTTGGGTGAACTATCCCTTTAAATTCAAGTAAGTTGTGAACTTTTTTGACTATACATTTGAATTGAATTGAATTGAATTGAATTGAATGTATGGAGTCACAAAATCACAAAACCAACTCACCCTATTCACTTAGTAGACAATTTAATTCAAAGTGATATAGAGATGAGAAGCTTCATTAGAAAATTGTCATCAGAGCTAGCTAATAATATTCATAATAGTAGGCTGTAAACATTGTTTTCCATTTATTCTATTTATTCGCTTCTGTCTGTATATCAATACACCCTTAAGACTATATAGTGTAGATCTTAAAAAAGTCAAAGTATATAAAGCCTTTCAACAATTAAATAATTAATGTAAAAAAAATGAAGAATTTATTCACCTAGGCCTACATGAAAGTTTTTGACAAACCTTTCTTCTGTAGTTTATTATTATTATTATTATTATTATTATTATTATTATTTAGGGAAGCATCAATATGACATCTGTTGTTAACGTATGCATATTTAAATTACACTTCATTTAAAACTAAAAATAGTTACTTTTTATTTTATCTTGTATCAGTCATAATCCAGTAAATCTCCACAGAAAAATCTGCAGCTTCCTGCAGAAATGGAATTCCCATCATTTCTAAAATAGTAAAATATCTCATGTTTTGCCTTAAAAATGTCTACAGTAATTTCATCATGATTTCAGGTACTGAAAAGCCAGAACTCTCAGCACTGTTTAACACGTTTTTAAAATCCATTCCACACAATTCCACAGATTTTCTTCCAAAATCAGCTCAGAAAATGCAGTGTCCACAGATTCCATCTGGGTCTAGTCATAATTGAGGCATTGAGGTCAATAGCATAGCCTAATATTTATTGAAAATATCGAATTACCAAGTGAAACAAGCACTGAAATATTTAGACTATACGCATTTGCCTCAGAAAATGTTTTCACTCAAACAACTGCTGAGCAGTTGCTCTGGCAACAGTCATGTAAATTCCACTCTGGCACCTATAAAAGCTTTTCCCGTAAATCCTCTGAAAAAAGAAACAGATGCCGGTTCCAGCAAGTCTTCTTCGCCTCTCTCAGGTATTCTACCTATTGTCATTAATATGAAAACTAAAATAATTACAGTAAAGCTTGAAGTAAAAAAGAATGTACCTGTAGATGAGAAAACTGGAGATTCCAAAAATTATGAGGGCCAGTCCAGACCCAACTGCCACTATTCCAAGGACAGGAAGATGATCTGGGGAATTAAATAACAATTATATAAAACTTTTCATTCCTAAGGAGGAATTCACAGAGAAGAAATTGCGCCCGCTGATAGCATTAATTTGCACACACTGCATGCTTGATTCACTTAAGAAATTATGCAATTCATTTAACGAAGCCCACAAAGTCTGCTGAATGCAGCTTGCACTGGGCAATTCCCGATTTTGCGGCTCTATAAGTGCCAGCTTGTGGAGTATGCAGCAGATTAAACCGAATCAACTGAAAGTGAGCTCATCAACACTGCGCATCTGGATATTTGCCAAGTTATACTACAAAAGGTACCCTTTTTTCAATTAAAAAAAAAAATAGCGATACAGTTTTTGTGATGTAATCTACAGTGAGTCTGATTAATATAGAAAGGAGAAGTATAGTGCTTGCTCTCCTCCTGAACGCTGATAACTACATCATATAGAACTTCCACAGATGAAAGATTTTGAGTAAGTCAAAAATAAACCCAAATGGAATAATTTAATTCAGTTGAACCAATAAAACTGAGTAAATGGTCACCTAACAGCAGCATGCAATTACCAAAATCATGTTGTGTGTTTGAAGAGTTTCCACTAAAAAGGTCCCTAACCTTCCTTGCATGGTGAGAATCCACACGGTGGGTAGTCCAGGGGTGGGAAACCCTTTGGCCACTGAATTCTCTCTGTTGGGGACCACAGGATTTCTTTACTGGTCCCATTGTAGTGACCAACAATCTGTGTAACAAAGTATACTCATAAGTATATTTACAGTAAGTGGAAAAACATTTCAGGGTAACACTTCATTTTACAGTGTCCTTGTTACATAACAGTAAATTATGTGTAATTACAGGCAACTAACCCTAAACCAAACCCTAATCCTAACCTTTGAGAAAATGCATGTAGTTTAATATTACTCAGTACTTGTAAGTAAAATAATTACACTGCAACAAGGACACCTTAAAATAAAGTGTAACCCATTTCAGATAAGAATACAAAACCTTGCATTACATATTAAAAAGAAAGATAACAAAACCTGGCAATGGGACTTTTTTTAGTCTATGGTTATACGGAAAATATTTAAACTACATGATTATGGTATATGATTTTGTTTCTGCACATGATTTAGAGTGTGTATATACAACATTGTCTACTCTTTGAAAGTGAGCGGATGAAAAAAAAAAGTCTGAATATACTGGTGACATAAGGGGTAACTATAGCAACAAAGCACGGATAACACAATCGCTTTGTTACCAGCTAGATCACTGTTAGTTTCTTTTCGTATTTTTGTTGCAATAGACCTCTCTAAATCAAGCAAGCCTCCCGGAACATTTATGAATGAACAAGTGAAACTGAAAAATGAACAAAACACTTACAAGCTCATGAACACATGCTTTCGATTAGGACAGAAGGGCAAGTAAAGGATTTTATTTTTAAACAACACATTATTTGGTATGCCGAACCGTCCAACCACAGCCACATTTACAGTAATTATGGAAAATGTGGCATGTGGGTTAAATTAGACTGTTGTTGTACATATGCTCAAATCTTTAACCATTGTTATTTATTGTCACATGTCTATCAAAAACATTTTCATTATGGAAACATTCCACAGGAAATCTACATCATTCATAATGTTATTTCTGATGCTTGCAAAAGCAGACATCACAGTTACTATTGCTGATACATGGGTTCTGAACTCTTATTTGGCAGCAGAAGAGACCGTTTAATTCCAAAGGACATTCTACTTACTGCGTATTGTCCAGTTTTCAGGTTAGTCATTCCCCAAAGGCTAAAGTCTGTGTATCTGGCATTGTTCCGATCTGTGCTAACAAGGCCAGTCACCCCTGTGAAACAAAACACAAACCCAGGGATCAAATAAACATTTCTATCTGAGTGTTGCTTTCAAAGGTATAAAGTAAAAAGGTCACGTATTGTTTCCTCTTTGTTAGCCAACAAAAAATTTTAAGACAGAGAAAAAAATTATTACTGAGAGGAAGCGCTGCCATAAGATATTTACTAGAGAGTTCATTGTGAAATCTCAGATGTTTGATTTTGTGGACACTGGAATCTCTCGTTTGAGTTTGAATTTGAGAAAGATTTTTCTCAAGAAATTCAGAAAATTTAATATCAGTTTACATTGTTCTCTAGGAGAAGCAACTGATATCAGTTATTATTATTTGTCTTTTCTATGTCATTCGCTCCTATTTTTTTTCCATATCTTTCCAGTAAAATATCTAAACAGCCTTAAAGCGAGCAAGTAAAAAAAAAAAAAAAAAAATTGAGATGCAAATAGTGTAAAACATTAAGACGTTAAATATTAAGAGAATCTATCTTGAAAATATCTTGAATCAAGTTTTTTCTTTGTAAACTGAAAAATATGGAGACCCATACATGACATGCCTTTAACTGAAAAATTAGTGTTTATTATTGTCATTTTGCATTATTCACACACTATTTTTCTAATTAATGCTGTACAGTTGCTTTGACACAATCTATATTGTTAAAAGTGCTATATAAATAAAGGTGAGTTGACTTGACTTGACATGAGTGAAAAAAACAACGTATTGTGGCTGTGAAGAGAAATATTTAAATGTACTGAATTCAAGATCAGTTTAGTCGAGAAGCAAAATCATGAAATAATAGAAAATATCTTGAATTGCTTGTTTTTCTACGGAGCCCCACACATGACATGCAGAAAAAAAATTGATATTGTGGCCAAGTTTTATTACGCTAATCTGTTCTCTTGTTTTGGTTGCATCATGTGCAGGGCTCTGTAGGAAAATATGTAATTCAAGATATATTCTGTTCTCTCTAAATGTATCTTGTTTTCAGCATGTTTAAATATTTTACTGAAAACCAGACTTTTTTAGTTTTTTGCATTCAGGATTCTGTCTGGTTGCTGTATGTGTTTGGCGCAGTGTGTGTAGTTTCCTCCAGGGAGAGGGTTTAGTAGATGGGTTGTGTATTAGAAACAGATTTTCCATCCACAAGCTAGTTGGGACATGCTTTAAATCAAGGACTCTGACCTCTACACTCCCTGCAAGAGAGGGTGCGAGTTTACAGACATCAACCTCAGAAGAGCTCTTACAAGTCCTCTGCTCACTTTAAAAAGAATCTGAGCAGAGTTGCCAAACCACTTCAGCTTGACACTGCTGTTAAAATCTGAGATACTTGTCATCACGTCCTCAAACTGTGAAGGGCTTAAATGTTGTAATCTGTGATCATCCTATTGATATGAACATCAAAGCATCATAGGGTCATATTCTGAATGCTTTTATCAATCATATATCTTTGCATTTGTAAACTGGGAGCACTCAACACACCCCAGATCCTGCGGTTTTGCATTCTCCTAGTTATGTTGATTCCATCATTCTGAGACACGTCGTCTGCTAACGCTTCACTGAGGGCTTTTGCATATAGCACAAAACCATCATGGAAACAGCCGGCAATAAAATCCATCTGAGGAAAGGCAACACAGAGATTTATTACAGGGAAACATCAGAAAATCTAAAACTACATGTCATCCTGTACAGAAATGGGGAGCGCAGAGAAAGATATGCCAGTTGTTCTCTAGTGAACATGAAATGAGTTGAGGTAAAACTAATTGATGTCCATTGATGACAAATGTAATTGAATAAATTATTAATTTGGCAGACCTAATTTATCAAATGGTATTATAAGAAAGCATCTAAACCATAGAAACATGACTTCTTCAAAGCATGTTGTCCAGTGACACAACTTCCCTTTAGGGGCTTTAGGGGTAAATTGAGACATTCACGGTAAGCTGAATAACTCTCCAAGTAAAAACATAACCATAATTCCAAATAAACACTAAATATATATATATATATATATATATATATATATTCATTCAGCGTTGTTTATGCTTAGGGGAAAGCGTGCGTATGCGTTGTGATACTCTCCAAAATGGCGGAAGACAGTAACTCGGGGCAGAAGAATTGTTGAATAAAGTCGTCATTTTTGTTTTCTTTGCAGTCAAAAAGTATTCTCGTAGCTTTGCAAAACTGAAGTTGAGCCACTGATGTCACATGGATAGTTTTACCGATGTCCTAGCTACGTTTCTGGACCTGGGAACATTACAGTTGAGTTGCTGTCTATGCAGGGTCTGAGAGCTCTCACATTTCATCAAAAATATCTTAATTTGTGTTCCGAAGATGAACGAAGGTCTTACGGGTTTGGAACGACATGAGGGTGAGTAATTAATGACAGAATTTTCATTTTGGGGTGAACTAACCCTTTAAGTTAATGAAGTTCCAAGTTATAAAACAACAAATTCAAAATTGAGATGGTCAAAATAGGTAATGTGATGAGCTACACCTGTGGTTACTCTGTAAAGACACTTCTGTGTGACCTAGAGGAGAACTAACTTCATACATTTACTCAAAATCACCTTGGGAGAGGTTGGTTAAAAGTCATTGTAAAAATAGCTCAGTAAAATGAAGTTAGTTAGCTCTAGCATTTGTTTGCAGATGCCACTTGCATTCATATTTTGTTTCTAATGCAATGACATTCAGATATTTGTTTAAGAGCTTATGTGTCCAAATATATTTTGGAGAAACTGTAGACATCGAAACAATGGATGATAGACTGGATAGGTATTATATAATTGGTATAATTATTGTAAGCAGAAATTTGATTTCTAACTTTCTCATAATTGCCATGCATTTTAGTATGTACTCAAAGGCTTTAAGGATTCATTTCCTGAATGTTTTCATTTGGCAGCTACGTGTGGATCTAGGGTTTTGGGGAGTCGTTTCCGACTTTCGTCAAAGGGTATAGCTGATTCAGGAAAATGGGACTGACATGAGGAAGCCAAACTTATGATTCAAGTGCTTTTAAGTGTCATATCTGATCTCGTGGTAAAAGGAAACACAGTTTAGCTCCTGAAAGCCTATAGAGCTAAACAGAACGTTCAATATTTTCAAGACAGTGATAGAAGGCCAAAAAAGAACTACGCTAGTCTGTACAAATGTTCTGATTAAATCTGATGTGACAGATGGCTGTGCATATTTGCCAAAACCTGATCTTATTTATGAGCAACTCACCATTGAGGGTTCCAATTTTACATTAAAATCCTGCATTGCTCTCTTGTGGAGTTCTTTGCGAAAAGCGGTATACTCAGGGCTGTCTGGCTCTCGGTATGTTACAATGAACACAGACTAGAGAGATGGAGAAAAAAAAACAGTCAGATAGCTAAGAGTTATAAAAGAACACAACATGATTACCCATAGGCAAATATTAATATCTTGACATAAGAAGTCGCTGAGTACGTTTTAAAATAAAAACGTAGCCATACAATTTACAAAAACTTCTCCCAAAAATGTAAATTCTGACATAATTTACTCACTTTCATGTTGACTTTCTTTTCTTGACTTGTGTATTATTATTTACTTGTGCATTATTTAAGTCATTCAATGGTTTAGTGTGAAGAACAGACTAAAATTTAAGTCATAATTCACTGATAATATTCACTTCCAGAAAGTGGTTAAACTGGATCACTGAGTCAGTGAACGAATCATTCAGACTGGTTTTGTGAATCTAATCAACTGATAAAAAAAAAAAAAAAGAATTTAACACATTTTACATAAAACACATTTAACAACTTCAAATTCAGTCTGCTTTTCTCACTAAGCTATTGTATGTCTTCAGAGCACTCACATATATCACACACAGGAATTATCATAATAATCTTAACTTTTGGTTTGTGTGCATTCAGTTTATAAACAAACAAACAAATGTAGTTAGATGTGAGATATAAAATTACTCATGCTGTGAAAGATTTTGGGGTAACACTTTAGTACAGGGACCAATTCTCACTATTAACTAGTTGCTTATTATCATGCCTATTATTAATATATTGGCTGTTTATTAGCACTTATAAAGCACATATTCTACATGACCATATTCTACATCCCTAATCCTACCCAATACCTAAACTTAACAACTATACTCTAACTGTAGTTCATGAAGTATTAAAAGGACATTTTAAATGTATTTTAAGAAATACACTTAAATTGCACTAAATATACTTAAAGTGGTTCCAATTTAACACAATTTCAATATATTAAATATATTACAAATAGATTAAAATCCAACTTAAACATATCTTGAAATACACTTAATATACTTAAAGTTGTTTCAAAATAATACATTTAATATGCACTTAGTATAGTATAATTTAAATATAGTAAGTATGTCTGAAAAAGCACAATTTAAATATATTTCTTTTTCACCTGGGTTATGTATCTTTGTAAGTCATTGTAAGCCCTCTTTTGAGGCACGCGCAAGCGCACGAACACCAAGAAACAAGAAAGGCTACATTTAATGGCACAAAATTATTTTGATGGCAACTCTGAAGATGGTTTAAGAAAAAATGGCAAAAAAGCCTTTTAACAATAAAAAAAAAACAATCAATAAATGTGGTGCTCATGTTTACATTTACACCCAAAAACACATACAGATATGCATTCTCTGCTGTCTATGATACTTAAGTGCAAGTATAAAAGAAAATATAATGTTACGTCTTTCATTGTCAATAAAGTGAGATAAGGTAGGGCGATGAGGCTTGGGTGGCCCCAAAGACATCTATCTAGGGCCCTCACTGGACCACCCAAGCCTTCTGCCCTTAATTGTTTGAAAAAGTAACTTGGTTTTATTGTGTACATTCAATATTATTTTTTAACTGTTAATTTGTTAACTGTTATTTTTATATATCACACATTTCTTTTTTCTTCAGTCTAGCTGCATTAATCAACCTTAAGCGAAATTACTGCAAAAACACTAATTTAAGTAAATGGAAGCCTAATGGACTATTCACAATCAGCACAACCAGGAAGGCTTTTCAGCTAAGTGAGTATTAGTCAAATTAATAAAACCTGTCAAAATAACTTTACAAAATCCTTCAAATTTAATTCTGCGTTAAAGAAGTACATTATCATGAAAAAACCCTCACTAACTCACTCACCTTGAATCATAATGTAAGGTAAACAATTCAAAGTGTTAAGCAACTACACTACGACACTACAGTCGATATCAAACGCAAAAGCAGACAAATGCCACTGGCGCTGTTATGCTAAAGCTCAGTAGTTATTATGGGAATTATTAATTATACCTGAAATAGCTTGATGGGGTCATTCCACTGTATCGCTGAACCCTTCCAGGGCATTGGAACTTCACCACTTAAACTCTCTGCAAACACGTCAATGTAGAAGATGGCGTAGTCCTCCGGGTTCTTTACCTCATCTTCAAAGAGCTTCATTATTTGGAAAAATGTCTGTAGAGGCCCACAGATATACACAACTGTGGTGGGGAAAAAAGAAGATTAAAAAAAAACACTTTACTTTAGATAGAAACAAAAAATTTACATTTCCAGCATAAATATATCTGGTGCTCTAATGATATTTGATTCCTTCACACAAAAAAAAAGGAGTTTGCCAGAATAATTGTCAAAATACAGTGAAAATGTAAACATATTTACAGAACAATTTGTAAATTGGTCATTTACAAAAAATTTTAATAAAAATAATAAAAATCACTGCCATACTGCTGTTTTGTTCCTTTAACATATACTGACAACCACTGAATTAACACAGGTGGTAAAGAGAAAACCACATGATGAATCAAAGTTTATCACAAGTAACTTTTTAAATACTAAGATACAGAAGGTGCAATGTGTCATATTCACACAAAAACAAAACACCATCATGGTAACACACATTAACATAATGCAATAAACATTAATTAAACAACATAAGCTGTAACATGAAGTTATATATATATATATATATATATATATACACACTATTAATAAAAAATATATTCAGAAACACAATTATTTAAGCAAAATACCATCAAATGTGAAGTGTCGTGTTTTTTTTAAATAGTACATTTATTACTAATAGTACATTTAACAGTATTTTACTATAAAAGTACATGAATTGTTACTAAATAAAAGGTTAGCTCTATCATAGTTTTTTCCTCTATATGGTAAGGTAACTTACCAATTAACAGGTTTTTATTAAAGGATTTTTGCATTCTTTTTCAGTTAAAATTACAAATAATTCTTACATTGATGCTCGCCTTAGCAAATACCACTAAAAATTGCTGGATGCACAAATGAAAATGATTTGTGGGGTGCTCCTGGCTTTTAAGAGGATGGATCGAAGGGCAGAGGTGTACTCTTCCTCGCTGCATGGCACCATATTGATGCACACGTGCATATCATCTGCATATGTGTGTGTATGTTTTCCTTATCTGCATATGTGTGTGTATGTTATAAGCATTATTTTTTGTCTTTCAGTACTGCTTCTGCCAGCTCAGGGACCAGACTCCCAGTTAGCAGATATTTCCTTAAGTGTTAGACCAAAGCCGGCCCCAGTCTGCCTCTCAGCCCCCAAATCCTCAGCTCTTCCAGCGTAGCATAGACAAATGCATGCCAAGTAGTCCTGCTGTCTGCTGGATGTACTCCAAAACAAATGCACAAAAAGGCAAGGAAAATGTTCAGCGGTGTTATAGAATTTATAAGGATCTGCCTGAGTCTGGCTGATACAAAGCCCATGAAAACTGGTTGAGAACATTTTGTATCAAAAGTGTCTATGATGAGGTTCTGAAATGTGCTTGCGTTTTTTTTTTAGATTTGTTGGTGTTTGCACTTGGACGTTTTGTTAGTCACGCCAAAATCATTTGTTTTGTGCACTGCACAAAAGATGCTCAGTGGTGCTTTCTTTATTCGAGATTGTCACAACTGGTGGCAAATATACTTTGAAAATATGCTGATATCAAATGACATTGATTCACTCTATCATCTCAGACCTGTCTGAATTTGATATGCCGTGAGTTGGATTTTTAAAAAGGACTGTATAATTCCTTTAATTGCAGTCTTTTTAACAGTGAAACATGCACACTCTGGTCTATTGTTTGTGCTTTAGGTGTGCGTTTGGAACTTGTGTAGTTGAAACATTTGAGTGAGCAAATGCCCACTCTTTCATACACAAACACAGCTTGGCACTGTCTCCTATTCAGCTATTTGACATTTGGTTTTAATCTGCTTTCATTCATTTGAGAGGTAAAGAATTAACCTTCTGCCATTATGAAAAAGAGCATTTATTTATGATTCAGAAACCAATTAATCAGGAAAGCATCATTATTATTATTGCTTATTCTAAGGGACAGGCATTTGAACAATTATACGACTGGACAGTTGGATTTGAGTTTGCCATGTACCTCCTACTTCATTTTTGCTGCAGACATACCTCAAATTTTGCAGCTTGATTTAGAATTCATCAGAATGAATGAATTAGATTTAATTAGAATTAATTAGAATGAGGGATTTTTCGACATGAGCCAGTAAATAAGTACCTAGCAACCACCCAAAACAACCTAGCAACAGCATAGTAACATGCTAAAAACCACTCAGAGCAACTTTCAGAATCCATATGATTGTGCTTGAGGAACAGATCCAAATTCAATTCTTTATTCACCTATCTTCATTTACAAACTCAGTAGCAACCACAACCACGAAATCTCGCACTTGTTAAAATTCAAAATTTGGTACTTTACAGGTTTTACATCGGCAATGTCAAATGCTCTACGGTTCTCATGCGCCTCATCACTGATTGTGGCATGTCATGTTTCAGGTGATGGGTGCTTTTGAAAGCCTTCATGATTTTTAGTGATTAGCAGCGAAAATAGATGCTGCTAGAGTGCACCCATATTGTATATTTCAGCATTTACCCAAGCATACAAAAAAAGTATGTTTTCGTTCCTGTAAGAGTTACATACAAATATGTACGTATAAAAAATGAGACCAAGCTGGACATAAGTACAATAGTCTCTGTCTGTTTCCCACATCTAAACCAAAAGAAAGGGAAAAGGTGCATGTGGACAAAATTAACTGTAGTGTTCATGTGGGCAATAAGAGTTTGAATGCTGCTTGCAAAATTTTCTGATCCCACTTCTTCATCACTTTCTGTCTCATTGCTGAGTGTCTAACCAATAAAGAAGCAAAAAGGCCACAAAAAAAGGAAGGAGAAAGGGTTTGTGATGACACTTCACAGCCTGGGGCGGGTCATTATCTCATCAATGTATGGAATGTGAGTTCACAAACTGGACAAGCTCAAACAACAACAACCAAAAGCATGAATTAATCTGACCTCAGGGTCATAGCAACTAAACTCATTGAGGAATAATGGGAGAGAGACGTTCTGATGTCTCTGGACGTAAACCACTGCTATTTTGAGATGTCTTTGTAATTCATTTCACAGGGCTTTTTTACGATACACTTTAAGACTGTCAGCACATCAAACAGGATTAGAATAAATAAATTATCATCCCCCTACTAACACTACTAAATGGTTTATGCATCTATATATATAAAGTCTATATAAGACCACTGTATAAAAACCAACCACTTGAGGCTGTTACAGTGATTTTACCTCAGGTTATTACACACAATGTGGTGTGCGTTAGTGATTTTACAGTGACCATTTATGAAACACTACAACAACAATATAAGACACTTTTCAATTATGTTCAATAAACAGGCAAATATATAAATAACAATTCATCATAATAAAATCATAATAAGATTTGGCCGATTAACATGAATGTGCAGGTGGGAAGGGTGCATTCGTTAGCATAACTACTCAATATCCAATTTTGTACATTTCTGCTGTGTTTATTGTTGGTTTGTGGGGGCTAATTAGTAATTAAATAGTTATGACAATGTAATTAATGCATGTTAATGCAATCCATTTTTATACTATATACATATATATATATATTATGTGCAGTTAACCTTTTATTTGTTCTCTAAAAAATATTGAGAGATGGGGTAGAGGGGGCAGAGTAGGATTACGATATAAGTCAGGTTTCAAACTGAATGGTCGCATTAACAGGTGTTTTATCTGTCACAGATACATCCACTACATTCCCTGCCACAGCTTGAATTATTATAACAATTTTTAAAAGCTTATTTCAGAAGGGATTCATTACCTTAGCATTACTGAAGTTAAATCCAGTTCAAAAGGTCGTACATGGCACCGTCTCTCTTTTTACTTGCAATATGTTAATAAATGCATCATACAAGTGAGTACAAGACATGGCTAATCAGGATCTGCGAGCAGTCAATCAAGCTAACAGTAAAACGGCAACTGCAAGCAATTAGCCATAAAAGTGTTCTAAATGTTCACACACACTATAACAGGGTAGTTAAATGTCAGAACAATCTAGGTATGTTGAACTGTTCCCAAAGGCTAAACGATAAGGTAAAAATTATCAGATAAAAGTCATGTGCTGATGGTATCGATTTTGGTGACGTACTTACTTTTGTAAACATAGGCTACAGCACTGATAAATCCAAACATGACACAGTGAGGTTATGATAAGTGCAGAAATCTGGAGGCAGTCTAGTAACAGAATAAAATTAAAGTGACTGTACATCACTGTGATACAACCTTCCTTCATATTTATCTATTGATGTTGAGGGAGCATATTCTTTATTGAACACTGTCGAAGACATGGCTGTAAATGACAATTAACATCTTTGTGAAAAGCTGTAAGCAGCATAGGGCTTTCCTTTGCCTTTTGCTTTGTATGTTCAAAGGAGACACTGGGAGAAGTGGATTTGTGTTGCCATGGCAGTGTGGATTCAGCAACTAAAGTCATTGATCTGACTTATTTAGACTAAGGGATGAATACTTACCCAAACTCACATAAATACTACACTTTTGATGAAGACATCACTTGGCATAACGTGTATCTGAAAGCATTCTTCTTATGGTTGGATTCGTAACATTATAATGACTAAAACTTAAGACAGCCATTTATGTTGTGCAAACCTAGTTCATAAGTTAGAAGGAATTCCAAATCATGAATCATTCAGACATTTTAAAACAACTAAGCTGCAAGTTCATGAGTAGTCTGAGGTTGTGTTTAGGTCAGTGCTGGTCAGGCTGCGTTCAGAACGCATTTGTTCATTTCCTACCTTTGATATTTCATGAAAAATTACTTAACTGTGGCAAATACAATGTAATCAGTCAATTATTTAAGGCACCAGAAATACTAAACGGGAATCAGTGAGAGCATAGTAAATGCGGTCTGACCGTACTGAATGGGCTGCATCTTGCCTGCCAGCTGCAGCTGTTTTCAGCCTCTAACCAGACAAAACTTCTATTGATTTTATGTGCCATTGAAATCAAAAGAGCTGCACTGCAGAGATAATAACGTTATCAGTATGAAATATGCTTTGTCAGTGTCTGGGTTGTATCCTAAATATGTCCTTAGTTCAACAAGTTTTATTTAACAAACATTAGTCATCACAGAAAGGAGGCACATGCAACACTGGTGCCCCCTAAAAAATGCAATGCATGATGCCCCATTCAGCTTATCAGGAATAATGGCCTAATTACTTTAAAGTGAAAAATATCTGAGCAACTTTCACCTGACAAAACATAATTATTTGGTACAGCGCTATGGTTAAAGAAACAAACATTGACCTGAGGCTGGGAACAAAAACTTTAATTACATCTGATAACCAGGAGGGGTGAGAATTAATTTTCCTTGCCGAGGCGGGGCATATAGGACCTACAATAATGTACAATATTTGAAAAATAATGTGTTTTTTTAACATTAAAGCATGTCAACATATTCTGTTACACCAAATACACAAAATAATGATCTTTAAAAAAGCATCATATGACCCCTTTAAATGAGTTTTAGAAGACCATCCAACTTTTTATGGGTGTATATATTTAACGAGAAAAGAGAAAACAATAGTAAAAAAGTGTGAGTCTAAATGTGAAAATCTGTTTATTTGTCGCAACACTCCTTTATTACAGAGCATTTCGTCCTCTGTCCAAGAGCACTCTAATCTAAAATGTTTGTTGTTTAAAAGAAAAAAAGGTGAAGAAAAAAACAAAACAATATTTACTTGAGTTATTCAACGGTGATGTCATTTTAGAGTAATAGCATTTGGTCTTTCTCAACATGTGGATATAAACATAATCTAAGAAATCTGGACTTAATGCATAATATCCTTCAGTATTGTTATACAATCAGAGTTGATGCATTACAACTCATTGACCAGCTGTGTGCTCTCTTATTTACTATCAAATATTTTTATAAATTAAATTGAAGTGCATTAATATATTGTGATGTTTAGTATATTGTGCTGTGTGAATCTTCAGGGAATTAAACAAAATATAAGGCACTAATATCCTGAGTGGAGACACAAAGGCATCCTCAGTGACATCAGTGATAATGTGTTCTCCTCATTCCATGCGTTATTGCAATCCTGCCACAATAATTGTGTTTGACAGCTCAAGGGGTTATTAGAATGTCAAGCACAGTAACAAAGCAAGGAATCAAGCCACACTCTTGAAAATAACGGATTTCAAGGGTTCTCTGCAGCCCCGGAAGTTCAACAAAGAACCCTCTTCTTATCAAGAATCATTTGTTTGAATTAAAGTAAAAGAACACTGGCGTATTGGTTTCTAGGGTCTTTGAAACAACAGTTCATTTGTGGTTTTGTAAGGAACTAAAAAAATAAAAAACATTCTTAAGTAATTCTATTGCCTATGGAATCTTTTTTTTTCTGCTTAACTGTATCTTTTGAATTCTGCCTACAAATTTTCAATGCGTTTCAGTTAAAGAAATTTTAAAGAACTGTAAAAGAGAAGTGTTTGGTGGGTAACTGTACACAAGGTGTCCATAGATGTTGACTACATTGCTTTATTAACTGTGAATAGGGTGCGTGCCCTCCTGTTTTGGTGGTGCTGTAAATAACTCGCACAGGGCACCACAGGGCCAAAAATACAGCCCGGGGGAACACAGGTGGTGTCAGTCCTAAACCAAAGCTATCAATGCCTCATTGTAGTCTTCAGATTTTAGATGTATTGGATCAAGAATATCAATGTGGTTGCCGTGGAGGGATGCTTTATGCAATAACACAAACACGCTTTATTGATTAAAGAAGGTAAACCCTGTGTGTGTGTGTGTGTGTGTGTGCGCACGCGCGCGGGAGGGGTAACAGTAACCGAACCAGATAGTAATACTGTGGTATTTTGATATATGGTATTTTCCAATATGGTAGTACTATTTCTTTTAAGTATGATGTGATGTACTAATGTACAATAGCATATGGTATGAATATGCAAATAAACTGAATCTAAACGTATATTTTTATCTTTATAACAGAAGGTTTAGAGACAATTTCTATATGAACAACGCCTTATTGTAGAATTCAGAATTTTACACTATAAAATATATTGTCATGTAACATAAAAAAAGGGTGTTTAATGTGGTAACTTCTAAATGAACCTTATGTGAAAGTTATTTCCTAACTGTCCACTTAGGTAGAAATTTTTGTGTTTTGTACATAAAACAAATCTTTGTGTATTGTGTTTATGAATTAACATTTCAGTGGGGTACCATGGGACAGTATACAGATGGAAATGTTCCCTGTATTCTTGTACCATGGTATTTCAAAGAACATCATCAATGATTTTTTTTTTTTTTTGACTTGGCCATTGTGTAATTTAAAATGCATTTGATTGGAGTGGAGTAAAAGAAAAAGAACCATTGTATGGCAGTGATTTGGATGTGTATTGTGTTAGTACCATGGTAATCTTTTAAGCAAATTGGAGTAAAATGTAAACACCCTGGTATATGAATTCAGTACCTTTACATCAAAGGACGATGGTCCTTTTTATTTTATTTTATTATTATTATTATTTGTGACCCTGGGCCACAATACCAGTCATAAGTAGAACAGGCATTTTTGAAGCAATAGCCAAAAATACATTGTATGTGTCAAAATTATCGATTTTTCTTTTATGCCAAAAATCATTAGGATATTAAGTAAAGATCATGTTCCATGAAGATATTTTGTAAATTTCCTACCTTAAATATATATAAAAAATGTATTATCATTAGTAATATGCATTGCTAAGGATTCATTTGGAAAACTTATAAATATTTAGATTTTTTTTTTTGCACCCTCAGATTCCAGATTTTCAAATAGTTGTATCAACCCTTATGACTGGTTTTGTGGTCCAGGAACACATTTATTTATTTCGTTTTAGTGGTTTAAAAATAGTAGCTAGAATCATCCAATCTTTTTTTGAACTGAATCTAAACTTACTTCTCCCGTTGTCCTTTATAAATGTGATGATGTCTTTATAATTGAAAGTCTGTGGATCTTCATAAGGGAAAGCCACCACGGTGATGTTTTCCTCTCGCAGAATCATGTAAATGCCCTCGGAGAGGAAATAATGAGGCCGGTCGTCTTGTTTGAGGTCGTGGAAGATCATCAGCGCGCGACTGCTCCAGTTGAAATGCGCGTGCAGATAACTGACAAAGTCTCCGAGTTTCGTGGTGGTCGGGCCCGTCCTGACAATAGTTTTAAACTCGTCCGACTTTTCAAAACCATACGCTGGTCCTCCCGCGGTTATCAGGGGAAGTTTCCAGTGGGACGCGAACCGTCCGACGGACGCGACCGAGTACGTGCAGCCGGGTCCGATGAACGCGTCTGGTTTGTTGTAAAGTTTTGTGTCCACGGCGATAATCTGTGCCTCGTTTTCCGAGCAAGAACCAGAGGAATCCTCTGTGCTGAAGTTAAGGAGGTTGATGGTGTGTCCCCTTAAAAGACCGCTCTTGTGAATTTTCTCTTGCGCCATACGGATCGCGGGGAGGACGCGCGGCGATGCCCACGAATACTTCAGATTGTCGGGCAGCATCACCGCTACGGTAATATTCCCCTTTTCTGTTCTGCATCCCGGTATGAGTACGTATATAAGCAGCACAATGAAAAAACGATATCCCATCCTAAATCCCGATCCCATCTTAAGTTGACAAACAAATCCTAGTGTGAGCGCGCAAGGTAAGATGATTTATTCTTCTCAGATCAAACTTAAATGAGTAAAATCCTCTTTTAAATAAATAGTACAATCCATTCGTGACGCCTTTCTTGCTGGTAGCCCAACTAAATTGCTTGACAGAGCCTCCTGGTGCTTAATTAGATGGACTTCTCGAGTGCGACTCCTCGGTGAGACTGTGTGGACATCCAGATGAGCGCAACTTCATCGCGCGCGGCCCTCGCACTGCCCCTACACGTCATGACTGCTACTAGCAGATATATACTCTAGTTAACGGCTCCCTCTGTCTGCAGGTCAAATAATCTCCTTCAGGTGCATTTCAGGGGTTTTATCACCGTAAGAAATTTCCCCCAAGCTATATAGCGCAGCCTATTACCAATTAAACAGACTGCAAAACTGTAACTGTATATCACTGTACAGAACGTTATCTAGCTAATGGTTATTTTGGGTTTTAATTGTATAACGCAAAACTAACGTTTTCAGAACATTCCTGGGATAAAGTGCTGTTTGATGGGTAGTGGTTGTACATTATATAATAAAATTATATGAAAGTCTGAGACACAAAATGTGCTACGGTACAACACTACCTGCATTCGCTATTATATTGTATTTAATTGGCGCTCAGATTTATACTCTGCATTTTGTACAGTACGGGTATTGTGTATATGGCACATGCTGTTACTTAGCCTATACAGTGCAGTTGTTGGGAGCACATTGGGACCATTACATTTGTGCATATGGTAATGTGACAATACATATTATAGTCTGATTTACATTTTAATTTCAAGTAATTTTTTTATCAAACGGTGTGGGTAAGTAACAATTTGCAACAAATAAAAATCAATAAAATCCCTGTCGAACAGTGAACAGTGCAATTGCAGTATTTTAAGCTGCCAATAGAGGTCAGACAAGTTAATTTGTAACTAGGGAGATCCACTACCACTACACACACACACACACACACAATCCAAAATCTCAGAAATAATAAACTACACTTACAAAAACAAACAAAACAAACAAAAAAAGATCACTAGTCCGAAGTCAACGTTCATGGAGGGATTAGACACTTCACAACTTTCATGTGTTTTAAAGCATTAAAACAGAACCTCTGTGATCCAGAATCAACAAAAACTCCACTGAGCTCCAAAGAGCTGGAAACTGCAGCATGTTTGCCATGAATCCACTTTCATCCAAGGCCAACCCAGATGCATAACCTAGTGTCAAGAGCTCTATCTTGGACACTAGGCAATGGAAAAAGCAGTGTGGTCTGATGAGTCAGCTCTCATCCTATTTCATACGTTGAGAAAGTCAGAAGAGAGCTTTGGTTCACATGCTGATCATCCACTATGCCTCCCCAAGAATCACCAGATTAAAATATTTGAAAGATTTATCTCCAGTTATTGGAAGCATTTGGTTGCAATTATTGCTGCTACAGGGGGCACAACCAAATTTTAACTTAAAGGGGGCAAATTTATTTTTTTGCTTCAATAAAAATAATTTTTATCTGTATGTGTTTGCTCAGATTGCCTTTATTTTCTTTTGCATTTTATTTGAAGATCTTAAACTATTTATTATGAAATATACACAAAAACAGAGGAAATCAGGATGTGGCAAAAACATTTTCACAGCACTGTATTTTACATAAAAAGACAGCAAGATGAGATTACAAACGTCATTGTTTTGTTATTTTGCACAATGAACAAACCAGAATAATTTGTGCCTTTGACACAAATTATGAGGAAAAAGTTCATGATTGTTTTTATGGTCTCCACTCAATCGTTTCTGACTATTGAGTGGTCTTGGGTAGTCTGTAGACACCAGTGGACACAATAAGCTGGTGGGCTCTGACTTTCTTCTGCAGGAAAGCCTGCAGCTCATTCACATCCATCTCAGTGACCCCAGACCCAGCGGCCACAAACATTCGCAGCATGGAGTGGATCCTCTCCAAAGTCATGCTCTCCAGGTTAGTCAGCATGGCCTGAATGTAGGCCCAGAACAGCTGAGAAATAAGGGAAAAGTGTTTAGCATTGTCTTAGCATTAAATGGCAAGTAAGGTCCTCAGCAGTGTTACATTACAGTGTTATGACAAGAGTTGTAAGTGTATAAATAACCTGTAATTTCTCTTCTCTCTGCTCAGACTGTGTTGCGGTGTTGGAGTCTCCCTCCTCATCACTGTCTATGAGCATGACACTTCTGTCAGATCTCTCTCTGCAAGAGCTTGTCTCCTGCACAGTATATCGACCTCCGGCTTCCTCACGCAGCACACCCTGCTGCTGCCACAGCGCCAACTTCCTGCGCACCATCTCTTGCGGCATGCCCATGACGCCACTTAGCTCTTCCAATGTCCATGTGCCTATAGAAGGAAAACAAATAGTAATGGAACTTCAGGCACACAAATAATCAAGACTGTGTCATTCATTGGCACACTAGGTAGTGTGCATGCTCATAATGATGAAGAGTGCTGCAGGTGTATTTTTCAAGGTCAAAACCTGGAAACCAGTACAGTGAAATAAGGTCTGTGGTTAACACAATATAAAGATATTTTCATGCCTTATTCTATAACATAAAATACACCAGTAATACCCCTTGTATTTTACTTGTTTAGCCTTTACTTGTCTTGAAAAAGGCAGTTACTAACCAGTGGCTAAATGGAACTACAAAGGTTGCCTTGTCTACCAAGTACTCCACTTTCACACCCTTTTTGTGTTTATAATCACTTGCAAACTATTTAACTCAGACTTTCAGGGCAAATGTTTTTAAAATAAAGCCAGAAAGCACTGTCTGAATCTTAGTGATGGTGACAATGAAGCCATACAACTGTGGTGTAGTTAGTTTATGGCCTACGTTTAGCTCTTTATTTCTGCCAACTACAATCCAACAACAATGGAATGGAAAACAACCCAATGGAAAAATCCTATAGAGGGAACCAGCGTGTTGCTAACTTCTGGATTTGTGTCCGGTCTGCGTCCAATCCCATTCTCATTGATTCCTCCCAAAATATTCCATGTTGCATAAAGTATTAAAGGGTTAGTTCACCCAAAAATGAAAATTCTGTCATTAATTTCATCAAAAATATCTTAATTTGTGTTCCGAAGATGAACGAAGGTCTTAAGGGTTTGGAACAACATGAGGGTGAGTAATTAATGACAGAATTTTCATTTTGGGGTGAGCTAACCCTTTAAAAGCTTAGCAAAGTCTCATAAAGGCATAAAAAGTAAAAAAAAAATTATAAAAATGCATTGTTGTTCACCCAAAAATATATATATTTTTTTAAAGATTTCAGTGAATTATGACTTTCAGTCTGTTCCTCATACAAAACTACTGTATGATTTTATAAAGCTTAAAACATTTCGGTTATGGCATACTACCTTTATAGTATTTTTTTGTAATTTTTGAAATTTGACAGCCAGAGCTGGTTTTCAATTTTATGTGGAAAAACTACAGGCATTTAGCTAAGTAAAGTTACCGTTGTGTTCCATGTAAAAAAAGTAATACAGATTTGGAACAACATAAGGATGAAAAAATGATTTTGGTGAACTAATTCTCCAGACCTTTGTCCTGGAAGTGTAAAATGATGGCAGCATGGATGGGAGTCACTGTGAGGTTTGCGATGGTTCTGTCCTCCAGCTCCACATCCAGTGTAACAGAACCCAGGTGAGGCTTCCACCTCAAAGTCCTCATGGCCTACAACGTTTTTTAAAAAAACAAAGAAAAATATGGCTTTATGCATTTTCAACAGAACACTGGAATAAAGAAAAAACAGGTGCGTATCATCACTGGCATGATTCAGAAATCTGTGTTGGGTCAGCACTTGATGTTCAACATAATATCTGGGTCATAAAACAAAACCAGTTTAGAACCACTGGACTTGGAGTACCTTGAGTTTTTCAAAGCGGTGTGTGTAGTCCTCCATGTCTTTAGAGATGACTGAAGGCAGCTCCATCTTCTCTTCCTTCAGCTGGGGCCAGAACTCAGATGAGATGATCATGGCAGACAGCGGTAATGTAGACTGCTCCTCTACAGGAAGACGACTCTCTTCCTCACGGATATTAGTGTTGATCCGCCGAGAGTCTGCTACATCCTTCAGAGAAAGACAGACACGTTCAATATAAATAGCACACATAATGGAAGTAAATCCATTCAAAGTCACATATTATGATAACAGGATGACTGATAACCAAGAGAAGTGAATTTGTGGACCGGAGCTGCAAAGAGCGCGAAGCATACCTTTAGCATCACTTCACAGTAATGCATGTGGGACTCGCCAAACCTCAGTTTCAGCAGCTCTACGTTGCGAATCTCTCTATAAACACAAACACAGAGGTACTGTATATATTAGTAACATGGTAAACAAACAGCACTTCCTTTTCTCATTTGCTTTAAAGTGCCATGCCATGATTTTAATTTGGTCTTTTTAATTTGATGATTTTAACTTTATTTTAAGGTCCAATTCCCACTATTAACTAACTATTAACTACGACTTTTGCCTAATTACTGCTTATTAATAGTTAGTAAGGAAGTTGTTACGTTTAGGTATTAGGTAGGATTATGGAATATGGTCATGCAGAATATGTGCTTTACAAGTACTAATAAACAGCCAATATGCTAGTAATATGCATGCTAATAAGAAATTAGTTAACAATGACAATTATTCCCTAAACTGAAGCGTTACCTTTAATTTTCCTTGATCTTTTGTAATAGATCATTATACTATGAAAACTATTAGAACTGAAAACTTCTTCCCCAGTATTCTTGCTAGGCTGAAACCAGATTGTAAAAATGAATCTGCAATTTTCTCACAGATGAATGCATTTACATTTATGCATTTGCGAAATTTTTATCTAATGTGACTTGCAGTGCATTTAAGGTATACATTTGTACATTCATACATTACATTCCTTGGGAATTTGAACACCCACATTTAAATATCAACAACAACTACTTTTATTTCTCATTTAAAGTAAATCTAATTTCCACACATTTCTTAATATTTGAAAAAAGCAGTCTATAAAAAGAGAGCTTATCAATAGTCAATTAAACTTTCATAAAAAAATGTCTTGACATAAACTTAAAGAAGTAGCTCCGGTTGGAATGTTCTTCCGCGGGATGTGTGCAGTTCTGTTTATTAACCGCTAGAGCGCCAAAAGTTACATAGTGCTGCTTTAAAAGATTTCAAAATAATATTTTAAATATATTTAATAATATTTGAA